ACTAAAAGTATATTTAAATATATATTTATATGTATTTGATGCAGGTGCACAGATATATGTAAATATATATCTCCCAGGTGAACAGAGATGCCCAGTGGGACCTGTGATGACATTGCAGCACCTACAGCTGAGCAAGCCACTTGCATGCATGTTTAGACAGATGAGATATTTCAGACCTTGCCCTTGTCATGCCTCAGTTTCCCAGTGTCAGTGCAGAAGTGATGCAGGTGGGGAATGGGCAGCATTCAAACCACCTACAGCAAATGCTGGTCCCAATAGCTATGGCCTCTTAAAGGCAACAGAGGGATGAGCTCAAACATCCTCAACTCAGACTTTCTCTGGGAAGCTGGCACTAAAAGCAGCACCCCATTTGCTCTCCGCCCCCCGTCCCCTCAACATACCACTCCAAACACGTGGGAGATGTACTGCATGCCAAACTGCTGGCTCTGGGGAGGCCAAAACTCGAGGAAGCTCTGCACATCAGCATGGAGCTCCTTCTTCTCCTCCTCGCCAAAGTTGTCCACGTGGTTCTGCAGGTCATCGATGGAGACCAGGCAGCCCTCTGACAGCCCACTGCCTTCCCTCTCTATCTTCCACATGATGTGGGCAGCCAGCCTGGCCAGAAAAGAGTCCCACATGTTAGCATCACCACCACCCACTGCAAGGAGATGGGCCAAAGGACCATCGAAATCCACTTCATGGGTGGGAAATTGTGTGCAGGCAGGCCAAGACAGGCTCAGCATTGGATGGCTGATGGCTGCCCACCATCCACAGGCTTTTGAAGGAAAAGGAGATGCAGGGTTTTTCCCCAGCATCTATGTTCTCAACTGCAGAACATAAGCTCCCAGTCCTCTACAACGGCTCTCATTTCCTTGGGGATTCCTCTTATTTCCTTATGACAGAGCCAAATCAATGTATCCTATTGACAAAATGGGGATGAGCCCATCTCTTCTTCCACTTTTCCACCTACTCCCCACTTTCCCACACCTCCCAAAGCACCCCAGGCAGGTTTTCCTCCCCACATTCAGCTGCAGTAGAGCTTTTGGGGCCCAGCACCAAACCCAAGAAAGCAGAAGCATGAGCCTCTCACACCCCAGGTGCTCCTCCAGGTTCCCATTCCTATTGACAAAATGGGGATGAGCCCATCTCTTCTTCCACTTTTCCACCTACTCCCCACTTTCCCACACCTCCCAAAGCACCCCAGGCAGGTTTTCCTCCCCACATTCAGCTGCAGTAGAGCTTTTGGGGCCCAGCACCAAACCCAAGAAAGCAGAAGCATGAGCCTCTCACACCCCAGGTGCTCCTCCAGGTTCCCATCCCCTCCTGCCCTTTCCCAAACCTTCTCCCATCCCTCTTTCCAAATCAGGCCACTCAGCTCTTCCTTGCCACCCTGTCCTGTCCCACTGTCCCCAGGCTCAGCCCCAGCTCTCACCTGATGTTCTCGGTGGGTGCCTTGCCATGCTTCTTGATGGCCGAGCACTCATTTTTGTGGTTGAGCCAAGCCACCCTCTGGCAGGTCCGGTCACAGTAGTGGGCAAACTTGCACTGGCCGCAGCGGTGGAGCCTCTCCTGCCTCTTGAAGCAGGTATGACAGATGACATGTGTCAGGCTGGAAGGACAAAAGGACACATTAGCTTGTACCTCAGCGAAGGGCCAGCTCCACACAGCAAAGCTCCTGCCAGCTTTGCGTCCCTGGGCTCCCCACAGCCACTAAGGATGGACCCCAAGAGGGGTTTTGGGAAGACAAAGAAACATCCCAACAGGCGCTGGTCCCTCAGTGCAAAGAGTTCACTGACCACAGAGGCTTTATTACTGAGGGAACATTATCATTGTCCACAGCCCGTAGTGGGGAAACTGAGGCACAAGGATCACATGAGGAGGATGTGCCACAGGTGGGAGTGAGTGCTACAGCCCCAGGGGACCCCCAGACTGTCCTGCCTCTCCATTATACAGATATATACATAAAAACATACGTAGGCAGATTTATATCAGAGTACATCTAAAATGCACTGTCATTCCCCTGGCAGTACAGTGTGAGCTGCTGACACAATCCACCCTGCACCTTGGCTCGTGCAGGATGAAGAGGGCCATGATTTAAAGCAGGATGATCTGCAGTAGACAAAACCATGTGCAACCATGAGGTTTGGAAAATAACAGTGAGCATTGCCGGAGGGAGCCCAGCACAAGGCAAGCACAAGGCGTGGGACAAGGGGAAGCATGTCTCTGGGAAGGGGGATGCATCCAGCTCCATTATGTCAAATGGAAGAGCTCGGAGCTGGTGAGCAATGTGAGGCTGTGCTCTGTCAGCTGTCAAGTCAGGGGGGCAGAGAGGTGCAAGAGAAATTACACTCCTTGTAAGGCAAAGGAGAGCCAGAGAGGGATGATAAAACCCATGCAGTTACATCGTGTTGGGAAGCACAGGGATATATCTTGCACAGAGAATGAGGTTCCCTCCTGCTGCCTGCATGTTTTGAGGTAGTCAGAAAGCAAAAAGGCAGCTAAAGAAGTTCCCTTGTAGAAAGGAATGGCAACTTGGAGAAGAACACAGTGCAGCAAAACCCAGTTCCTCAAATAGGGGCTTGTCTCCCCCCAGCTCACTCTCTGAGAACAGAAAGACACTGGAATGTTGGCTTTGCATTTTGCTGTTTATCACATAAGGTGTCCAGAGCTTCCAAAGCAAACCCACCCAGTGGAACTTGCTGCCTGGAAAGTCATCTGATGCAGAAATGCACAGAAAAAGTTATACAAGACTTTCCAGGAAAGGAAAGGAACAGTTCATGTGGTATTGAAACTGCAGCCACAAGTACTCATAGGTAATCTGAGTGGTGTAAGAAATACAGCATTTGTCACAAAACCCTCATGGGATCCTTCATGCTCAGAAGACTGGGGTTATTGATAATGTGCCTTACCAGACTCCAGAGGCCTGGGCTCAACTCTTGGCACAGTAAAAAATCGGGATTCAGAGGTATTCAAGATCTATTGCCTAAATCTCCAATGAACATAGCTCGAGCACTGCCCGACCCTGCAAGCAAACTGCAGTGCCCCTAGGCAAACTCCTGCTGTTTCAGGGGAGCTCAGAGACGGACACCCCAAAAGGGAATGGCAAAGTGGGGCTCTCCCTTGGCCCCAGTCTGGACTGTACACCAGGCTCTGATACCACATATCCTGGAGGTAGACGACACCAAAGACACCAAAGGTTTGCAGTGGTCCACAGCCTTCCCTCTCACCCCCTCTGCAATGATTAAGGTGCCCCAAAAACTGTCTCAGAGGTCTGTAAAACCTTCTGTGCCTGGCCTAGAAAGTGTTTAACACAACCTGAAATGGCTCCAGGTAGTCCAGACTTCCTCTCCCTGTAGACAGAGCAGCCCATGTGCGGCCAAGGTGCTGCATGGCCAGGCAACACTGAAAGTTTCTGGAGAGAAAGCTGGGTAGGTACTTTCTGGTGTAACACCTACCCAGGAGTCCTGGACGTCTGAACCCTCATAGACTTCATGTTCAGCTTCCCTTGCTTTGACATAGGGCCAATACAACAGCTTTCTGCTGTATCTATGTACACCATGGCCTCTGGGGTGATCTCCTTCATCTTCCACACATAGTGAGAACTACTTTTTTCCACCCTGCCCAAAAGCAGGATCTTCATTGAGGCCTACAAGGATGCTGGGGAGGGACTCTTCATTAGGGACTCTAGTGGTAGGACAAGGGGTAATGGGTTTAAACTTAAACAGGGGAACTTTAGGTTAGATATAAGGAAGAAGTTCTTCACAGTGAGGGTGGTGAGGCACTGGAATAGGTTGCCCAAGGAAGTTGTGAATGCTCCAACCCTGGAGGTGTTCAAGGCCAGGCTGGACAGAGCCTTGGGCAACATAGTTTAGTGTGTGGTGTTCCTGCTCATGGCAGGGGGGTTGGAACTAGATGATCTTAAGGTCCTTTCCAACCCAAACCATTCTATGATTCTATGATTCATTAGCACAGGGATGTCTCCAGCCCATCAAAGCCTTGACAGGTCAGGGATTTAGGGCTGACTTGGAGGAGAGACACCACTAACTGACTCACTACATGACTTTCTGGAGAGCCTCATGTTTACTTGGCCTCTCATCCAAGCATCAACGAAGCTGAACTCTCAAGGGCTCATGAGCTCAGACATTACGTAGATGAGACGCACAACTACTAATCCTGGATGTAGCTACAGTCACAAAAGCAATAATTCAATGTGACAGCCAACAAATACAAGACGTGACAGAGTGCTTTCAACTAAACCATGGCTCCTGCAAGCACGGCTCTCAGGGAAAGCAGAAGAAACAAATAGCTCTTGTGACTGCTTGGATTGGATTCAGATGAATTAAGATCTGTTGGACCTGCCAGGACAGAGGGCTGAGCACTGCCACAGGAAATATATTACCCTCGTCTCTGAGACATGCACAACCCAAAGATATGCCAATCATTTGACATCCAGCACCCACAGCATCTCATTCACTGATCTGGAAAAGCCAGGTGAGGTGGCTATAGGGGAAAGGAATAGAGGAGGATCTCATGCAGTAGCTAATGGATATGGTGAGAAGATCACAAACTATTTAACGTGAGTTTATTCTATTCTGTACATCATAGATGATACACACAGGTGACCTGGCAGTGTTCAAGGCCAGGCTGGACAGAGCCTTGGGCAACAAGGTCTAGTGTGAGGTGTCCCTGCCCATGGCAGGGGGTTGGAACTAGATGATCTTAAGGTCCTTTCCAACCCAGACCATTCTATGATTCTATGACTTAACTTACACCTAAGTCCACCTGCTTCATATTTATTATTGGCTCACATCTCTCTCCTCAGTGTCCTACAGAGGACAGCATAAGAATAGCCTAAGACATGGGCAAAGTCTGCTTGGCTTTCAAAGCAGATGCTGTAACACTTCATTAAACACAACAGGAAATCCACCAGCTACTTCAGCAGCGAAAGGAAAAGGGAGGTATTCAGTAGCTGAGGATACCTACAATGTTGAATTATCAGCACAAGAATGATTTTTCTCCTTTAAAAAAAAAAAGAGTTTGGAGCTTAGTACTTTTATCTTTAAATGTCGAGGATGACACATCCTAGTTTGTCTGATTTGAGTGGAGGATTTATTTTAGACCATTTTATTTTAATCTTCCATTACAAGATTTCTCAGCCTCCTTTTAGAGGTGTGGGGGTGCTTTTCTTTAAAGAATTAGGTTTTCTCCCAGGTTTTATTTAAGCTTTTGAACAAATGAGATTAGAAATTAAAAAATCAAACCCCTAAGTAAATTTTAAACAATGTGAAGATGAACACATCAGCTCTCAGTTCTTATTTGTACCAACTCAAAGAATGTTTCCATAATCTTTTCAGTCATCCTGTAATGGAAAATTCTGCATTTCTTTATCCCTACGTCATCCCAGCTATATGGAGCTACCCACATTTCCCTTGGAAGATGTTTTGGGCCTGCTTTGTACATTAAAAAGGAACACAAAACTTGCACGATCTCATGGGTTTAGCCGTGTGCAGATCATTCATCAAGCAGATCTTCAGGTGATCTTGGTTTCCTACCACATGACACTGTTTGCCTTGACTACTGTCTCTCAAAGCCCACTGGTTAAAGAGCAAACCTGCTCTTGATGAAGGCTCTCAGAGATATATCAGGCATCCCCACGCCCGTAGGAAATGTAAACTCTTACAGCTTGAGAGCCAACTGACATGCCAGAGGAGAAGGTCACATACTGTACATTGAACCCAGGCAATAGAAATGCCATCGTCCCAAAGGTGAGGAAAGGAAACCTTCAAAGAGAAAGTGAAGAGGGAAGGAAGGATTAAACCCCCACACGTAAGCAGAGCACTAGAGAAAGCTTCAGTGAGAGATAACGTCAATAGGGAATGCAGAAGGGCTTTGCAAATCGAAAAATGACCCCAACATAGGCAAAGAATCCCTTGAGAAGATATATTTACAACCTTCTGCATCTATTTTAGGGCAAAGAAGGCCTGACACTGGTGTTTTCTCAGTGCTATTTCAGCTGATAACAGCAAGGCTTATTCAAGCCCAGATCAGAGTGTGTGTCTGCACTTTATCCAAACAGCAAAATATCACACTCAGTTCTACACCCTCTTTTAATCAGTATTCACAGTGTCTCTAAACAGTTTGCTTTAGTTCAGGCAGAAGTAACAGGCTTGATGTAAGAGTCAGCATCGGGTAACCACTGTGTTAAAGCAAAAGGTTATAGAATCATAGAATAGTTTGGGTTGGAAGGGACCTTTAAAGGTCATCTAGTCCAACCCTCCCTGTAATGAGCAGGGTTAGTTTGTGAGTCATACCCTGGCCTTAAAATCTAAGAAACTATGAGCTGCCAGTTGCCTGTAGGAACTTTCTTTAGCTTCACTTTGAGTTTTATGTACTTCTGGACTAAAGGTCTCTGGCACTGGGTAAGAGGCTGCTGCTCAGATGACCATCACTGGGCTGAAGAGTACAAGCCCTCACCAGCCTTAATGACTTCAGAAGCCTTCAGGGACCTTTGGGGTCCCTGTGACCTTCAGGGGCTTCCAGGGTGGGATGAAGCCTGCAGATTTAGACAACTAAATGTGCTCATCTGTACCCTCAAATGTCTAAGCAGAAATTCCATCAAAATACTCAGCAGGGTCTGGAAAGTCACTCAGCTCAAAGGTGGGTGTCTGGGTTCAGTGCATATTATACAGCAACATTGGTTGTAACAGGCTCTTAGGGCTGGATTCACTTGCCAGGACATAGGAGCTTAGTGTTATTTTAGGCTCTGCAGGGACATCTGGCCTGAGAGGAGGCCTGATTCTCATAAATCCTGGTTTGTACCTGTCAGCCCTAAGAGGATGTCTCAGACATCCCAGGGCATCTCAAATGACATTAAACACCTACAGCAACTGAATCCCACCTATGGCTCTATGCTAACACAACAGACCTCAGTTTTGGGTGTCTTCATTTGCAAGCTGAGTCGCAAAGCATATTGCTGGACATCACATCACCCTGTAGGTTGGTGCAGTTAAATTGATGGATTGCTCAGAGTATGATGGCTGATTATAGAGTTTTGTCACAGAAAACATTTCTCCTTTACCTGGCAAAATATAATTCTCAGCACCTCCTCAAGCTCAGCCTCCTACTGATGGGCAGGCTTGGGTGACAGCCTCATGTCCAAATTACTTCATCAGTTCCTCACATCATTATACAGAGAAGGGTCTTTGCATCATTTAAGCCCAAAGCCTAGTATATCCATACTTTCTGCTGTGAGCATCTAACACTGGTTGCCAAGATTAGTTGTTCAGGTTCCCTAGATCCCTGTACTGTCAGTGCAAAGAGGTTTGCTCTTCTGATAGTTTCTCAGAGGATGAAAAGTAGGTTTCTGCTATGTAACAGCCTATGAGGTTTCTCATTCACATTCCTGAAGTTAAACACCTATAGCAGATAATGCAAATATTTCATTTCACAATGATGTTCTTCACCAGGTCAAATGATGATTTTAAGGGGCTCCTTGTTTCTGAACAGTTAACAACTCCCATCTCTTGAGAGCTTTGTGCCTTGTCACAAACACAAGCTGCTTTCCTTCCTTTAGTAAGGCCAAACCAAGAAAACCATGTTGTATCTCTGAAGAGCTGCTCCCTCCTAACCTGAAACAGAGACCTTCACATCACTTGCTGTGTTGCCACATCATATGAAGACACACAGGAAGCACAGTGTGGTCACTGCAGCAAGATTGCTATCCATATACATCACATACAGAAGTTGACTCCAACAGGAAAATCAGGGGTAGGATTTCAGGGCTCAGCATCCACGCTGGAACCAGACTTCCCAAACGACTGAGCTCTTCAAAGGGCTGCAAAGACCAGCTCTGCACTCTAATGATTTTGTGGTGGCCTTCATACATAAAAGAAAGCTGAGCTCTGTGGAAAATCTGGTCAGGTATTTGGTGGGACCTGAGCCAGAAAATTAAACACACCGATCACTCGTACATGAACTCCATTTCCATAGTGCACATACACCCCATTTCAGCAAGAGATGAAGATGCTGAGTTGAATTAGTATGATGAAAACTGAACTTTGAGTTTCCCAATGTAGGGTAAGACCCCTTTTAATAATGTAGACTTGACACTGATTTTAGGATCTATACATGTATGTTTGTGGACAAGGAAAAACACATGTGTCTTGACTGGACTCTTCATCCATGCAGAGGCAACAGCAGTTCTTTCAGGGCAAAACCAGGCACCATGGCCTAGCATGGATTTGCTTTTGCAGGTCCTATAAGGATCCAGGTTTTCCTGCTTTGATAGCAATCAATTCAGTGGGGTTCTATGCAATTGATTACCCTGGGGCAGCAGCAGAAGTTACCTTCAAAACCAAAACCCTGTGTGTCAGGGTAGTTTTCACAAGAAAAATGTGTGTTTCCATTATATCCCCTGCCAAGCACTAACCAGCAGGCATTTAGTTGGCACTGTCTGCTTTGGAGATTTTGGGATTTTTGGAATTCATTTGTCCATTGACGTTCATGAAGTGCTTTGGGATGAAACATGCCATGGGAGGGTGAAAGTCCATTACCATTGAACAAAGAAGAAGCAGAGAGATAAGAATGACTGAAGCCATCCCCTCAAGTCACAGAGAAGGGATGTATTTACTTTGCCTCCTTGCTGCTTAATGTTTGGACCTGCCCTTTGGGAGCTAAACAAACCCAGCCTGGGGAGGGAGGGAAGCCCATCTCTCCCACCCCAGGTTTTCTGTTGGAAACCTAAGCCTAAGTCACAGTCTGCAGTGTAAGAGCCGATGTAGTGATAGTTTCTCCCCTTAGCTCACATTACACAAGCGACATTTGAAAATGCAGTGAAGTTGTAGCTCTTCACCATGAGCAGCTCTACTCTGTGCATGATGCTTGCAACATTTCACATAGAAGGAAAGCAAATTCCCAACCCACAATGAAAAGTCAAAATGGTTTCAATGGTTTAAAAGATGAGAATTTTAATAAGTCATATGGGAGAAATAATTGTCCTTATGCACTTCTGAAGCAAACAGTGTCACAGTAAGATTCCAGCTAGTGACACAAGTGAAACTGAAGTACAAGACCTAAAAGGACACGTCAAGGAGAGATGGTTTTGTCATTAACTACTGTAATTAAACTCAGGGTTAAGAATTCAAGAACCTAACATTTTAGAATGAAAAAGATGACATTTTTAATGTGAGGTCTTGCAATGATGAATTGAAATCAAAACTAAAAAGTGTCACTGCTGCTATTGTAAAGATTCACAAACACATTCACCCAGTGACACTGGAAGGGCAAGGAAAAAGTGAATGAAAGAGACAAAGAACCTTATTTCCTGCTCTGCTCATTTAATCCCCAATTCTCTGCTATTGCCAGCTCACACAGCAGCACGAATCAGCTTCTGCTACAAGATGACCAGGATTAAAACAGCAGCATGAGCTCTACTTGAGCTCCGGATGTTGTTAGAGGAGCTGATTCCATCAGGGAAAGCTCAGCTAGGCAGAACAATTCACTGCCTATTTAGTGTGCAGAATATTCACTCATAACTGGCAGTTTGGGGCAAAAATTCAGTCTCAGGACTCACCATGACACCTTTGAAGAATGCTCATAAATATCCTAAGCCCAGAATGAAACCTTCAGCTGACATCCAGCTCCTCGGTACAAAAGTTTGGAGCAAACTGTTCTCAGTTAGTGCATTATAAGGCTGAACAAATTCCATTCACGTCTGAGGCTTTATTCTAGATTTATTCCATGTGAGATTAAGATAGAAATCAGTTCTCTGCATCTTTTAGCTTTCAAGGTATTTAAGTGAATCTTCCACTGCTTCGAAGGGCAGAAGCAGGCACCTACCAGCCACACGAGCAGCACAGCTTGATCAGATGTTGTTCATCCTTGAAACAAGCAGTAAGAAAGAAAAATGCATTTGCACCAGAATTCAGTTTCTGACTACATCAGTGTGACCAAACACTTAAAACCAGTCTCGTGCAAGAATGAAAGCAGAAACCTGTCTGCAGTTAACTCAGCTAGCTATAAATATAACAGCACTTTAACACAAACAGTCTCACCCACAGATCCCCACTAGTTCCTAGTTTGAAGGCAATAGGCAATGAAGCTGCGTGTACAGCTAGGAGGTGCTACAAGTGAGCAGAGCACAGTGTAAGGCGACTTTGTCACGCATTATGCATTGGAGGCTTCAGCAAAGTCAGTTTGGGATTGCTGTACCTGAATTCCACTTACTCCTGGCAGTACACCTGAGGGTAACGTGGGTCTGGTTTGATGGGACACTAAATACACACAACTGAGCGCCTTACAGGATCACATCCTGGCAACAGATTGCACCGTATTGAAAGCAAAAAAGGCTGATCTGAGCCCTGGAAGCACATTCACTGTGAGCTCGGAATGTGTGTTTACAGACGTGCTTCTGATTCCCTCCTCTGACATTGTCCAGACCCTTCCAAACCTTTACGTGCCTGGCCAGATGAAATTCTGCATCAAGATTCCTTTTGGTCTTTGCTTTAAAAGTGCTTTTTCTCTTACCTATCAAACACCACGGCTGCATAGGCTGGCTCTGCAAAGATGACATCCCCAGGCAGAAATTCCTTCTGGGCTTTCAAGCCCCTGCCTTTGCCTTCAGACGTGAACACTTCAACCGACTCCATTTCCCCTTTGGTCATCCCAGGGACCCCAAGGCTTGAAAGTAGGTATCTCGGAGTGAGCCAAATCTCCTGTTACTCCTGTCAACTTCAACGTGCTGCTAGACCACGCTTATAAAAGGGCTGGGCCCTCCCTTCCCCCCAGGCCACACCGTTTCCCATAGGAGGACAAGAGGGTGGGAGCAGGAGGGGCAGGAGGAGAAGATCCTCCACGCAATATCACCAAACTACGCAGGGAATGCACAGGGCTGGGACTTGCTCTTCTTTAGGAAACCCCTCTCTGAAAAATGACGTTTGGAATTGTTTCTCCCAGCCACAAGCAGTTGTATATGTTACGACTCGGATTAATTTATACTCTCCCATTGGAGAGAGAATGTATTCTCTTTGCAGGGTATTTTTAGCAGCCACATGCTTCTGTCTCTCAGGAAGCAACAGCTGAGACAGTGGGACAGGGAGGGCTGGTATGCATATTTCCGACCCCTTTCCACTGTCATCTGGCTTTTTCCAGAAATTAAACAATGCTGCTTTATTTTTACCCTCTAGGAGATGGAACACATGTTTAGAGGCAAGGATAAGAGTGAAACACATGCCTTGAAATCCTCAGCATCATCTGTCACCAATGTAACCTGGAAAAGGGGAGTCACTTCCCAAACAGCAGTGGGTTTATGGAGCAGGAAGGGCAGCAGCAGCAGTTCAGCACAGGCTGCAGAAGCAAGCAGGACATCTTAGGTACTCACACAATTTTGGATGCACTAAACCTTTGCATTTGAGAGCTCTCCCCATCTCCAGTGCTCAGCTGTGGACGAGATGGGAGAATCTGAGCCACTGGAGTAGAAAAGGAGGGTCCATTGAGACCAAATCCATGAGAAGCCAGGCCTTGGCTTTGCTCTCTGCCCCCAGCAGCCAGTACAAGTGCAGGGAGACGCAAGGGGAGGCCTCCGTGTAGGAGAGAAAACCTCAAACCCAGCCCAGACTGTCATCCAGCATGTCTTTATCATTTAATAGCACTTTGCAGGGCTGGTTCCTGTTAATCTCACCCTCCCACCCTTAGGAAATCTGGTGCTATTTCCTTCTGGATCTCTAAGCACCACACAGATATCAGCATTGACAAATCTCTTCCCAAACCTCTCTGCTCCACAGAAAACCTGTCTGATTAACAGGGAAAGTGAGGTGCGGAGAAAGAAAAGGTGATTTCTTTCACAGTCAAGGGCATCCCATGGCTGTGGAAGAAATGCTTTACCTTGCCAAGGCAGTGGGATGTATCGCTGTGCTCAAGACACAGAACTGCTCAGTATCTTGTGCTAAAAGCTTCTGGCAATTTTCCTTGCCTGCAAATGAAGCACAATATTGTGCTTCAGCACAAATATCCTGTGTTATAGTTTGCCTGTGAGTGCCAAGCACAAACGATATCAATCCACAACTCCATAAATTCAGGGTGATCCGGGTCTTCACGTGGTTATGAGCAATCCTCTCGAACAACCAGACTCCTCACTTGTCCCAAAAAGGGCCAGAGCTGTCCCAGAGCCATCAGCATAAACCTCCCAGTGCTTACGCTGCTCAGTGTAGAAAAGTTACTACAGGCAATTAGCACCTACATGCAATTACAGTTTTAATGTCAAGGATCTGCTTGTGTGATACATGATGTCAGGATGCTCTGGTCTCATCTGTCAGCCCTGTTTAACTCCCCTGGGTATAAGCGCCTTTTAAATACGTATATTTGCCAGTACTACTTTAGCACCTCAAAATTAGATGCTGCTGCTTTTTCTCCCTCAAAAAATACATTCTGGAGTATAGCTCCAGAAAAGAATACATTCTGGAGTACTGCACCCAGTCATTAATCACACTAGCCACTGTTTCTAATAGGGAAGGGAAGGGAAGGGAAGGGAAGGGAAGGGAAGAGAAGAGAAGAGAAGAGAAGAGAAGAGAAGAGAAGAGAAGAGAAGAGAAGAGAAGAGAATATAATTATAAGAATATATCTTTTCAAACTAACCAAGTAAAACTGACAGATCTAAGTCTTTCTAGGACAGAGTTAGAGGAGACCAGGTCCCTGCATGGGCAGACACCTGTGGTGTAGCCAGTACAGTGCACACATCATGCTTTCATATCACAAAATCCCACATTTTGGCTGAGATAGAGTGTAACAAAAGTGTCATTTCTCCCCTTCCAGCCTCATGAATGCCACAGTGGTGAGTGAGTGCTCATCCAAGCCGTACCAGAAGAGATCAGTATCTGGTTTGCATCACACCCCTGATACCACCAGGCCACGGTTTCAGACCCAGCTGTGTGCATACAAACAGTGGTAAAACTGCCAATCTGAAAATAAACCCAAACCCCAACACCAGGAAAGTTGGAGAGGGGCTGGATAAGGGGGATTCCTGCTTTTTGAAGACCTATTTGGAGCAGCAAACGTACTTTCAGCCCTTGGAAACACTGAATTTCAAAGCCAGCTGGAGAGGTACACGCCAGTTTTGGAGCGCCAAGGGCGACCCTTCAACATCAGGTTCTTCTGTGCGCTGGATCCATGTGGATATTGGGCTGGAGGGGCGAGTGGCCCCATCCTCCTCACAGGAGAACAAACAGCACCCTCTGCTGCCCCAAAGCACTCTCCCACCAGATCTATCACTGCAGTTTTGGGCTGTGGTGAGCGGTGCTCGGAGCAGCCGTGGATTAGAGACAAAAAAGAAGGGAACCCCCCTGTCCTGGGCAGGTGCTCCTTGGACTCACTCTGTCACTATAATTCACCTTCAGACACTGAATGTGAGCTGGATGAACACACTCTTCGGGGTGACAGTGGGGAAAATTTGGGTAAATGGAGTGTAATGGAGGCAGAGAGGAATTCAGTACCAGGCAGATATTAGGCAGCTACTAGTAGTTACTAGGCAGGCACTAAGCTAGATACTAGACTAGTAGTAGTTACCAGGCATTTACTACAATGTTATTTGACTCTTACTAGTAGCTCCTGAGCAGTTACTAGGCAGTTACTATGCTTTTACTACTAGTTACTGGGCAGGTTTTAGGTACTAGTAGTTCTGAAGCATTTACAAGGCAGTTAGCAGTTGTGAGGCATATACTAGACTAATACTGGTAATTACTACTAGCTATTGAGCAGTTATACAGCAGTTACTAGCAGTTGTGATGCAGATACTAGACTGATATTGATAATCATTAGTAGCTATTGGGCAGTTACTAGCAGTTGTGATGCAGATACTAGACTGATATTGATAATCATTAGTAGCTATTGGGCAGTTACTAGCAGTTGTGATGCAGATACTAGACTGATATTGATAATCATTAGTAGCTATTGGGCAGTTACTAGCAGTTGTGATGCAGATACTAGACTGATATTGATAATCATTAGTAGCTATTGGGCAGTTACTAGCAGTTGTGAGGCAACTACTAGGCTGACCCTACTCATTGGGCAGTTATGGGGCAGTAACTAGTAGCTGTGATGCAGGTACGAGGCTGATGCTGGACCCTGAAGCGGGGCCGGGGCAG